CTGGGAATTTTATGTGATGGATCAGAAGGACAATAGTCTAAGTTGGTGGAAGTGAAATGAAAAAAATATATACATAAAACTATTTTTTAGGAAATAAAAAACTAAATTGCAATGTACATATGTATTCACCCCCTTTGTTATCAAGCCATAAAAAATCTCTGGTGCAACCAATTACTTCAGAAGTCACATAATTTAAGAGTGAAATGATGTCCACCTGTGTGCAATCTTAAGTGTCACATGAACTGTCAGTACATATTACCACACCTTTTTGAAAAGGCCTCAGAGGCCCTGCAACACCTAAGCAAGACACTACTAACCAACACTACCTGAAGACGAGGAACTCTCCAAACAAGTAAGGGGACAATGTTGTTGGAGACAGTACAAGTCAGGGTTAGGTTATAAAAAAATATCCAAATCTTTGATGATTCCCCAGAGCACCATCAAATCTTATCATAACCAAATGGAAAGAAACATGGCACCAAACAGCCAAAAAAAAATCTGGGGGCCAAAGAACCCGCCACCAAAACTCAACGGCCCGGGAAAGTGAGGCATTAATCAGAGAGGCAGCACAGAGACCTAAGCCTAACTCTGGAGGAGCTGCAGGAGTTCCACAGCAGCAGACTGGAGTATCTGGTACATAGGCGATAATAAGCCGTCACGGCTCCATAGAGTTTGGGCTTATGGCAGAAGTGGCCAGAAGAAAGCATTACTTTCAGCAAAAAACAAGATGGCACGTTTTGAGTTTGCGAAAGGCATGTGGGAGACTCCCAAAATGTATGGAGGGCAAGTGCTCTGGTCTGATGAGAACTAAAATTTAACTTCCTTCGTTACCTTTGTGGCCACAAGCGGGCAAACCAATACACATCACCAAAGCAACACCACCCACAGTAAACAGTGGAGCATCATGCGTGAGAGCTCAGCAGCGACTGGAAACTGGTCGAAGTTTGAGGAATTAGGATGGGATGTGCTAAATACAGGATATTTCTTTGAGCAAAACCTGTAACACTCGTTATTTAAAGGCTGCAGGACGTAGGTCCACCTTCTCATAAGACAATGACCCCAAACACACTGGCTAAAGCAACCACTTGGAGTGATTTATATTATTAATACTTATTATTCATTTCAGTTACATCAAGGTAGGATAACAACCCGAACAATTACCCTTCTTCCCACCCCCTCCCCAAAGCCAGGTTGGAGAACAAAAAAAAAAAAGGCTGTACTCTACAACAGTTTCTGTGGCATCTTGCGATTGTGATAAAATGTCTTTAAAAACATACAGAGAAATAAATATTCAGACACAATCATGGACATTGAGGTGTCATGAGGGCCCTCTCCGCTGTTGTAATATTGATCAAGAAATGGTTGCATATCTGATGAATCTGCTGATGTCCCTGATAAACGAACGGACTTTCATATGTAAGATTCTGAGAGCTCAGTAAGCCAGCAATGAGAAAGTCGTTAAGAAAAAGCACCACGAGGACAGGCCTCCCAGTGGCTAAGAGTTTCGCGGTGAGACCCAGCTAAGGATGCCTGTCTCTGGGTCTGGAGAAGATCTGTCAAACCCAAGAGAGTGAAAAAACTTACACCAAAATCAGCGAAGTTTGTTGCAAAACCAGAACACTTGAGTGATTTAAGGGAAACAGACCTTAAATCCAAGAAAACCGTGGCAGACTTGCTGTTTTCACAAGCAAAACCATCCAACTTGTGGCTTCCTCTCACAGTCCAAAGACATGAAGATAAGGTTAATGGGCAAATCTAAATTGACCGTATAATGCATGTGTGAATGTTTGTCTGTCTGAGTCATCCCTGTGAAATAACCGGTTCAAGGTGTACTCCAGCCCGCTGCTGTTTCATACACAATATTCACATTAGAGAAAGCTGAAATCAGAGAATTTGGATGTTTTTCCTTAAAACGATTCATTGCTAATCAAAATAGTTGGTGATTCAATTCAAAGTTAGTCGCAGCTTAACACAAACGTTGGAAATACTGCAGAAAAGGGAAATGGGGGGAAAGTTAGAAGGATTCCGGGCCTTACACTCCGACAAGCCACACGAGTACAAATTCCAGCCAGGAGGCTCAGAGGAAGGCTGGAGGGCTGCGGTACCTGAAGACAATCCTGGGGCTGCGGGGCCGCAGGGGCAGGGGCTTGGACAGAGGACGGAACACTGACTGCTGGCTCCAGCTTAACCACAAAGCAGCCACAGAGAGACAACGACAGCCAGCAAAAGCAGTGTGAGTAAGGCATGGAGAGAAGGGAGGATGGAGGAGGGGAAGAGTGGGAGAAAGAACAAGAGAAAGTCAACATGGAACTTTGGATGAAGAAAATGCATGCACATGGAAACTTGACAGCACAATGGAAAAGTGAAAATGGCTTTGCAATGAGTAAGCATGGGATGAAAATGATTCCTATACACTGACAATGTTTTTTGAAAGTGCAGATCAGTTCACACAACTACAGTTATTGTTACTTGTTGACATTAGTAAGATGTTAACTGAATGGGAATGTGCGATAAAGTGTGGATCCAGAGTGCTGTAAATTGAATAGCTTCAATCATCAATAGATGGATATGTACTGAGCTCCTATGTACTCGACCACCAGGAGTGGAGACATCACTCTGGTTGGTGGGAGGTGTTATGGTTATGGGCAGTTTCCCATTCACAATTGTACTATGCTTTCCAATCTGTTTCAGAGTTTTTCCCCGTACCAATCCAGATGCCATAGTCTGATATTTTATATGACTTGTAGGGTTTTTCTGGAGTCAATCTGTTTGACTGCTGTTCATATATATATTCTTGGAACCTTGGTGCTATCAAGTGAACCAGTTTTGAGCAGAACAATAGTAATCAATGATGTGTCATCAACAGAGCATGTTGCACAGCGTGTAGAAAACTTTGAAAACTTGTTATTTCTGGGTCGGTAAAATAAAGCCAATCAAAACCCAATCCTGTTTTTGCTGTACTCTGATGTCCTGCCTGTCCTAATGTAAGCTTAAAAACTAATAGTTTAAACTCAGGGCCTTCAGTATTTGAGTGTGTAGTAAACTTTCCAATGGGTCTTCAAAAGCAATGGTAAAGAGTCCAAATATTCAGCTGGGGAACTGAGATTCCCTTGAAAAAGCAGGTTTTGGGGTTAGGTTGCCTTGCNNAGTCCACACTCCATATTTTGTGTTCTGTGGGACTTGAGCCAGCGACCCTCTGGTTCCCAAGCCAAGTCCCTACACACTGAGCTACTGCCGGCCCGAAAGATTTGTCACAATAAGTTTGAGAGTCTACAAAAAAGTTTTTTTGCAACCACATCTATAATCTGTCAGTCTGGGAGAGTTGTGCCTGTTCATGTTTTTTTTGTCAGAGTTCCTCTCAAAGAATGCAGCACTGCAGTAATTGGCTCTACATGAGTCTCCTGTTATTACTAGACAAGCTAAACTACTGAAGTCCCTCGTTTGGAGCAGTCTCTGGTGGGACTCTGCCTTTGTAAACCAGGCTTATGAGCAGCTATGTGATATCTCACAGGTGAATAAAAGTAGCAACTGTCCCTGTCTTGATGGTAAACACTGCCACAGAAAGGGGTTTAAGGCTCATAAATCTCACGAAGAGCAAGCTTTTCCTAAAATCTGCAAAACCACAAAAACCTCTGTTGTTTCTAACAAATAAACAGCTGGCTGTTTTGACAGTTTGTGAGGAGGAAATTAAGGGTTAGTGACTGAAAGGTCACCAGAATGGGAAATTGTGGTCAGAATGTAAACACATACCTCCTACTCCCTCAGCAACTACCGTTGAGGTGCCTAAGAGTACAATAGAATAGTTGCTCATAAACTAAAGACAAAAAGAACAAAAGCTGTATTGCCAGCTAAAGTCCCACTGTTAACCAATCGACCATCCAACTATGACTTTGGCCCTACCAACTGTGGCTCAACACAAAAACTATTTGCAGGTAACGTTTCCCTACTTATTCAAAAGTAAAACATATTTTATGTTCCCTTTTATCTTCCATTCCTTGCTTACAATGGCTATCAAGTGACTGTAGAAGTGTGCAACACTGAGGTTACACATACGTCTGTGGTGTTTATTTTAAACATGCATTTCAAATGGCCATGCATTTTCCACACCAATGTCCCAAATGTCGACAAGACATGCAAAGTGTGGACACTGTACCTCTTGCTGACTGACAGCAGGTTGCTGAATGGGAATGACTCCTGGAGGGGGAGACACTGCACCAGGATTGGGGTGGGGGGGAGCAGGGCTCACAGAAGTTGCAAGTGGAGAGGATTTAGGAGCTGGAAATAAACGTAATGGAGGAGAGAGGGAGGAAGATTTTTGGGCCACTGATGTGGTAGAAGGAGGTTTTGCAGGGGTGGGTTTGGCAGCAGCAGCCGGTTTGGGTGCAGGTATGAAGCCAGGAGGTGGAGACAAGGGCACGGGCTTGGGACCCGGGATAAAGCCAACAACCGGTGGGAGCGATGTAGGTCTGGAATGAGTCGATTTGGAAGAAGCTGATGCAGAACACTCAGAAGCCATGCTGGTTGCGTTTACAGCAACCACAGGAGATTTGATTTCCTGTATAACTGGACCAGAGCTTGTCGGTTTGTGATTGACCTCTTGTGGTTTTAGGATGGTTTTATCCTCTCTCTTTTCCTCTGGCTCAACTTTTTCCTCTTTCTTCTCATTTTTCTTCTCTAACTCCATTTTTTCTGGCCGTTCATCCTTGCGTATTCGTGGGCGGGGTTCCCTCGTCCTGCCTCTGACCATGAAGTTTGTCAATCCTCGCGAAATGTCATCTTTCTCTTCTGTTTTGATGACGTCGTGTTTAAAGGAGAACCCTGACACCGCTGGGGTCTTAGACACTGAAGGTGCTGGCACTGTTTTAACTGGTTCAGCAGCAGGTTTGGCTGCTTCCGGAGCTTTGTCTGATGGTTGCGTTGGCACGGCAACCTCGTCCTCTTCTGTGGACAGGACCTTCCTGACGACACGACGAACCACCTTTACTACTTTCTTCCGTGTCAGACCCTGGTCATCTGTAGTATCCATGTGGTTATTGCTGGTGCCTGGATTTTTGATATTACCTTTAGCTGTACCATTAACCATGCTTTTGCCCATAACTCCATTTTGCTCTTGCACACTGTTCATAACTGGCTCTGGACTCAGAGCAGCTTGTGGTCGTTCAGGAATCCTAAACTGCTCTGCTGACTTTGATGGTGGCTCAGGGCTTTTGAAGCGCTCTGGCACTTTAACAGGTGTCCTGACTTTAGGCGGGGAGGGACTCCTGACCCTGGCTGCTGACTCCGTAGGGAAAACTGGTGGGGGACTTTTTGCCCGGAATAACCCCCTGCCAGGGTCTAGAGCTGGCACTGACTTGGCCCGGCTGGGCTGCCCATCACTGTCTGGCTACTCATAGAGAGGAAAGAGAGAAGGTATAAGGACATGAATAATGAAGGAAAATCCAAGCATCATGTCTTTATGCTAACAGCAATCTAAATACTGGTATGTTACATTGAGCTGAACGTGTCTGCAGTCATTATGTCCAACCCTAAACCCAACAGACAGGCCTATTCAATGCAACGTTGATCAAATATTTTGCTTTATTAATAAAAGCAGGCGACCATGGCTTGTAAATTCCCCCTTGTTCAATTTAAACACACAGACCCATTTGATCAGTTTTGGTATCAGATACCTTATGGGTATCACTCACACAACTCTACGAGACAGACAACCTTTAATCCAGAACTACAAAAAACGTCTTTTCAGAAGAGGACTGAACAGCCAGCTGCTTACTACATGCCTCACTGGAAGAAGAACCCTGAAAATCCTACATAGGTATTTTTGAGTAGGGTTTGCAGGGCACTTAAGATGCTATAAAGAAGTATCTAGGAATCACTGCATTAAGCTAATTATCATATCTCATGAACTTGCTCCTACTTATGTACTGATGGTTTTTCTGAATCTACTACAAGCACAAATACTACAAACACTAGTTCAAGTACACTAGTTCACAGAAAAAAGCGAGAGGTTTGTGAGTGTTTTGCCAGGTCTGATCTAAATGATAATATGTGCGATATCAGCTTTCAATTCGTCAAGTTCTATCTAAAAGATACACATGGCTGAGGACCAGTATGTACCCAAGTGAAAACTCTAGTAAAGGATAATACATACAGTATTTACTTACACTTTTGCTGCCTGGCTTGTTTTCTTCTTTGATCTAAATGTGTTGATATAAAAAAGCAGTTCAAAACCTTGTTACTACATAAAACTGTTGTCTATCACACCGTGCAAACCTCGAAACATGCCGCTTTTGAAAAATAATAAAAAACAAGAAATTATTTTTGGACTTCAAAGATCTCGTTCTTTAAACACTTGTCTTACTATTTCAAGAACAAAAGAAGTGTCCAGGAAATGGCATATGTGGCACAAAGTCACAGCAAATGGGTTAAGTACTATAAATATGAGTGAAAGCCATCAAATCCTTAGTGTGATGCAGGCAAAGGCCACACATAGATAAAAAGATACATGTTAATAACTAGTGAAAAAACACTGTAACACCATGCAGAGTGAAGAAGATTGCTTTATGAAATGTCCAAATGACACTTCCCTTTTGCTCCCAGAAGGAAAAGCGAGATGAGAATGCCATGTTGGCTGCTCTGCTGTCATGGGCTGTGATGGATGAGATGAGAGCAGGAGGAGCAGGAGGAGGAGGAGGAGGGGAGCTAGGACAGGAAGAAATGGTGAAAATACACAGAGATGGATGAATAGGAATGAAGACCTTCAGACTTCAGAGTTCATTAAGTGTCAATGTAGGCAGAGCCATATGTGGATGGTAAGGCAATGAATAGGGTAGAGGATGAACAAGAGCAAGTTTAGAGAAATGAAAACAGAAATTGCAAGTATACCACACTCAAAAGGAATCAAAGAAAAACATCCTACTAAAACCTAATAGCATAAAAGCATTCTAGGGAGTCAATCTTGACCCTGGTATTTAAAATCCCTCAGAGGGTTATGCATACTCGTAGCCAGGTCTCCAGACCAACATCATCCCCTAAAAATAATGTACAGGGTCATCTAACTGCTGCTTTGAGACATTTTCATTAACACCATGTTAAGCACAGAATATCCAACAGTTACTTTTAATTAATTCCTCTCGTCTTCATTAATACAATATGGTAAAGTGCATCTCAGCCATGCACCCTTTGGCTGTAGAAGTTCAGAATCAGGCTCGACATGAGTGAGTTAAGATCCAACAGTTCTGTCTGACAGAAGACGAAGAACAGGAACATTAACTGGAGCCAAACGCCAGCACCTGCTCACAGATTTCAGATACTTTGATTCATTTTTGAGCTTCAGGTTAGGAGATATGATGATATATATAGTAAAACAATATAAAGTTGTCTACTGACACAGATTTTGCCGTATCTCTGCCTGTTTGTGGTATATAGACTATAGTGTTTATAGATCAACGTGATTAAATACTTTGATTTGTCTGGATTTGCCATTCATCTGCAAATTATTTTCACAATTGGTCAATGAGTTGTTTAGTCTAGAAAATGTCAGGAAATCGCAAAAAATGCTCATCACAGAGACAAGTGACAATTTCAAATGTTTTGTCCAACCAACAGTCCAAAACTCTTTACATTCACTATCACAAAGGACAAACAAAAGCAGAGAATCTTCACATTTAAGAAGCTGGTACCAGAAGATGTTTCTATTCCACTAGAAGCTTATTAGTCTTTACATGTAATTCATTCATAAAAATACTCTATCTGTAAACAGCCTACTGTGTACTTTATGGTCGACTATATTACCATCAATATGAGAATATAAAGTTGGATATGCTGAGGATTTGATCCATATCACCACTCCTATCTGAGCTGCATTGTGAGTAACGCAAATGTAAGCTGACCATAGCCTGCTCTCTCAGTCTGGAAGCAAACTCCAAACTTTACCTTTAAACTCTAAAGGGGGAGAGTGTTTCATGTTCATAATGTATATTTTATTTAGTTTATGCAAACTATCATGTGTATGCTTTCACATGAGCAGGTACTATATAGAATGAAAGTGATTAGTCCTACCTCAGTTTTTACCTCATTGTTAGTAGCAAAAGAATTTAACAAAATCTAAAATGTGCAATGTACAAACAGGTAGAACAAATGATAGTCTATGGCTCTGTTTGAAAGTTATGCTGAAAATCCAAGGGTTGAACTTATCTAATTGACTTGTTAGAAGCTGTTATGGGCTGGAGGTCTTTAGCTTGATAAGATGAGAATCAACAACCCTAATGCCCCTGCATAACAACTTTTACTGTGTATGGGACAGTGTCCAGGTCTGGCTCTTGGTTAGTGGCTTTTATCAGTGGTCACCGAATTAGCACTCTGACTAACGGTCTTATTTTTGGATTTGACAGTGGTACTGTCCCACATTACTCCCTCAGAGAAAGGCCAACAAGGCCAATCAAACCGGCATAGGCAGGTCATACTGTATCACACATCAGAAACATCTTTTTTTTTTTAAATACTAAGCTGTACACATAAGCAAGACTTAACAATTTGACACCAACTTCATCAAGTTGAGTCATCCTTTATTAATCCCCGTAAGAAAATTCATTCTCTGCATTTGACTCATCC